TTATTATTATTATTATTATTATTATTATTATTATTACAATAATAATAAATACTATCAAAAAATGAATAAAAATAAACGTTCAACAAATACATTTCTTGTTGTGTGTATATACAAGACAAAACAGGTCTTATATGAATATAATTCTTGTTTATATTGTCTTTAGATAATTCTTGCCTGCCGTGAATTGTTAAAATAATCTGGCATGATCCTAATTTATCTCATACTTTGAAAACTTTTCATGAGATTTGATTAAGTATAAAATAATAAGAAATAATAGTTCAAGCGCTTTTATGAGAAAGGAAACGAGATTTATTGATTTTATATTTGAAAGATTCAATCCATTTTTTAAACTATCTTTTTTCCTACTATTCCTCTGAACAAATAAATTATTCGCAATTCTCTTAAAATCTATTAAATTTTTATCTAGTAAATGCATAAATGACTGCGAGTTCGCAAACCTGTGAGTTGATGGTATGTGGAAATAAGTCAGTAGTAAGTTATCGATTTGCTTGAACTATTATTAGATATACAAGTATGAATGTGTGATAATTTGTTCAAAGTACTAAAGTTTCATGTCAGCAAAGGTTAATAATACTGAGGTCATACTGTAGACAATAAATAGTTTATCAGAAATTTGTTGGTTGCTTCTTTTAAAAACAAATATCTCGACAGTACTACTAACCTTAGTCTTACTTTTGCAGAATGGACTTTCATGACATTTTATTCAATTCAGTTCAATTCGATTAAATTCAATTCAGTTTAATTCAAGTTTTGTTTTTTTTTAAATAAAAAAAAATCTAATCTCAATCTGAGAAGCAAAATTTTAATTTTCTGCATAGATTTTGTAGTTTACTAACAGAAATATCAATTCATAGCTTGAGGCGATGAAATACACAGCAATTACAAGTTATTTGTTTGGTGAGCTCTTTTTAAGATTAAATTTCTTGAAAATTGTTTGTGTTACTTCCAATTTGTTACTGTACGTGAATAGTTCGAAATATATGCAAGTAATCAAACAAATTTGGTAAGAACCGAATTTACAGGAAGAGTCGGATAATATGATAATGTTGGCAACCGTAAATCCTTACAGTAATGGCTCAGCAAGCGTTAACAATCATATAATGACAATTACTGATGTCACTGATCAGGTAGGCATATCAAGCAAGTTTGCTAATTAGCTTGCTACATTAGTTTTTGCAATCATCTCGTATGCTATTAATTAATATATGCTA